AGTAAGAACATCTATTTGACTTTAAAAATAGTCATATTTCTGTTAGACATCTAATCTTTATTCAAAGATGTCGTCAGTCAAATGGTTGAAAAATACATGCATACATAAAGAACGAAAAGAATATCTCCTGTTTTTAACTCGAATATGTGCTATGATGATTCATCAAAAAATGTTTAAAAGAAATGCATGTCGACATTTCGAGAGGTTGTTGTTGCAGTTCAGGTCCGTTGTTTTGCAAAAACCTGTACAATAATGGAAGTATAATCCTTCAATAATGATGAAAAAGCGATATTTTTATAACGCAACATTGAATGATTTGATGATCTACTTTCCGATATTCATTTTGGACTGAACTTCCCTCAAGTCTTGGTTGTTTGTATGTTCCTAATGAATAGCGTCTATTACGTTTCTATGAACCAACATCCGGTACAAGTCGAATTGATGGTCGTTCAAGTCAAGAATACAATCTCACATGGTTTAGACAACAAATTGGTATGAAATATTCATTTTTGGATGATTATTGAATTTTCGAATTTCGCCATGTCGAGAAAATACTGGACTAGCTGTCAAAGGTGAAGAACGAACAGCATGGTTCAATTCTAATTAATCGTTTCGAAAAAAGCTGGTGTCTTCAACGACTACAATTGCGATTACACCAGCAATACTAGGAATAGAACTATCTGTAGTACTAACGACACAGTTTGAATCATTTATTATCAGCTTTTGAAGCTAATTTCGGATCTTGCAAGTCATTATCATCAGCTGTATCGGTAGCAACTTCATCTTCATCATCTTGCAATAAATCAAGAACCCCTTTTGGCATGTCATCATGTTCGACTACGCCATCTATGTGTACACGCTCCCAAAATAAACAATCTGAAAGAGGATATTGACCAAACTAGAAGGTATATTTTTTATACAACTAGTTTGTCTTATCAACCAAAGATCAAATGTGTAGTGTCAACCAATACGAAATGAAAATAGTATATGATTTATTAATGTAGACCGGTTTCGTATTCTTCGTCAGTACATTAACAATACAATAGTAA